ACCAGACCCGCAACTACCGTCGATACTTTTACAGATGCCCCCAAAGACTCACAGAACAGCGTGACTTCTTCTGCTGAGCTGACGGTCAGGTCAATTCCACTACTAGAAGTGATTGCAAATTTATAGCACTATTGGAGGACAGTTTACGAGGAGACATCCATCATCTTCATGTTAAAAACAATATCATTATTACTTTACTTGTAATTTTATTAGTTCTTCTCTTTTTCTTAACAGTTTTGATACTCACTGTTAAGTAAGTGGTGTATTCATACTTTTGTTAATTTTTGAAATGAATTTTTGCTTCTGAATTATCAAATATGTTGTTGTCATAGTTCTGTTTTAAACAACTTCACAAAACAGGGGCAGAATGATCATTTTTACAGAAACAGCTGTCCCACAGCTGTTCTAATACAGCTCTAACAAACAGACAGCCAGCTTCCCCTCAACAGCTTCCAGGGGCAGTGCAGATGCAGCTGAAAAGCTGAGAAGCTGTAGCTGGGCCAAACAGACCCTTAAAAGTTTTTGTATCCTAAATTTTCATCAGGTTGTTGACGTGTGATGTTTTTAGCAATTTACATTTCTTGTCGGATGGATATTCACGTCTCTATGACTGAGGGGCAAACTAGGGTTAAGCAACGTATAATATTTTTCTTACATTTTCTTCACTATTGCTCTAATTAACTTTTACGCTTATTAATAACTTCATCAACAGTAATTTGTGCCTTAGCGTGATGAATGAGGTCATCATATGAATCAATCATCTCCCGCACCAAAGATGAGTAGGAAGGACCAAGGTGTAATCCTCAAAAGAACACACGTCTCAGTAACTCTAGATCTACTTATGGGATTTGATGAGCTTAAATGGAGAATTATAGAAAATAATCCTTCAGTGATTTCATCCTCACTTTAATAGATCCTGGAGAGGAGTGAGACGAGTTTGTAATGATCCTTCAATTTGTAATGAATTGCTCCTCAAACACATTAGTGCTCAGTGAGTAAAACCATGTGTGTGCTTGTCATTTAAGAGTTGTAGGAAAAACTTAACATAGAAGAGCATCACGAGTTCATTATATATGCATGATTTTTCTAAAAATGATTCATATTTTCGTATGGTTTAGAAGTCCCATCATAAGCACCAATGCTCGAAAAATTAAATCACATTGAAAAGGGATGTTAATCAATAATATCAACTAGCATAGAAGACACTTGAGATCCTTATCGAGTTGAGAAAAGAGTTCTATCCCTCATAAGGACTTCATGGACTAGATGCCGTAAATCATCATGAATTTTGTGAGGTCGAGCTACATCCTTCACAAATGTCGGAGGCTTGCTACTAAGCATTACTGCATCAAATGGATGATTAAAGCTAACAGTGTGCAAGAGTTTAGCTTTCTGAAGTGGAGCTTCAATACGCAAGAGGATATTGATGTTGCTATGCTCCTTCTATTTGTACAACCAACAGTTTTCAAACTTGACATAGAAGTCAAAGAATCTCATTTTGAAGTTACTTCATTCTTTGCACTCAATTTTCAAGTGCTACAAGAGAAGTTCCCTCAATAACAAGATGATGTAATTAATTGTGAAATAGAGTAGATACTTCTCTTCCCAAACTTTAAGGTTGCACCCTAAAATGATGGTGTTAGAGCAAGAAGTATGTGTATTGCACTTTGATATCGATGAAGCATAGACTTCTACAATAAATTTAATTTCTTATAGATGTCACACCAAACTATTGTGTGCTCAAAAATTCACAGCGGTAGAGTAATAATTTAATGTTTCACCATTGTGTGAAAATCCAACACACATATAGATAATTGAGTAAGCAATAGGAGCAGCCACCAAAACTCTTTAAATGAAAAAATTTGGGAAGGAAAAACAAATAGACCTAACACAATCAATATGATTCATTAAGTTTTCAAGTGAAATGGTAGACCATATCGTGAAAATGGGTTTGGGTTGTAATGTTACACCAAATACAGTGTTTGTATGTACACACTATATGGAAAGATTCATTGTATTCTGAATATAGCACTCGAGAGCAATTGCCACCAAAAGTTTTCATCTAGTCTTTAATACATTGTGCTTAAGGTACATCGTTGTACCGCATTCAAGTATACACCATTACCCAACAAAGTTCTTCATTACTCAACAGAAAACTTCATTACTTGATAAATTCCACAAAAGGTGACGAGCAAGGGGTGGTCGGTGGCAGTTGGCAACAGCTGATGAGTGGTGGTCGGTGACTATAGAAACGAGAAATTATTATCGAGTATTCAATTGATAACAACACTAAAATTAGGTTCATTTTTCCTTCTCCCCCACCTCTTAAATCAAGAGATGGGGTCTATTTATAGGTTCCTAGGGAGGGGCATTTCTGTTATTTGGCCAATAATTCTCATAACCACCTCATTGAATGACCTATGTTGATTTCCCTTAATCATAGAAGAATTTCCTATAGATCGAATGACCTTAATGGCCTTGGAATCCAATGAACTTGGACTCGTTGCATTTATCTTATCGAGACGCTTAATTTGATTATAAGCATGTCAAATTTGGAGTACATTTAACCCTTTCAAATAACCAAACAAAAACCTCAAAAAGTCATTTAATGGCTTGATCAATCCTTGATTTGACTCATATTAGATCAATGTTTGTATCATTGAGATTATCTTGTTGAGCGACTGTACGATGTTGAAATTAGAGCTCGGTGATTTTTAAATTACATTTGAATATTTCTTGCTCAAAAAATGCCTCGAGATCCATACCAAATGTCTCTAAATTCACGTTGAATGACGAAATTAGTTGATGATGGTTCAAATCTAAATGTCACCCTTTAGTATACCTGGATAACTTTTGGGCCAAAAAATTACTAGCTTTATTAAATTTCAATAGTGTCAATTTATGGATTTGAAATATCAAAATAATCTTTTTAACTTCAAAATGCTCAAAAAAAATAGTAAAAGAATACCAAGATAGGATTTCCGTGAAAAGATCAATTCAGTTGATACTTATCCAAATTTTAATATTTGAATATTAAAGTTTGATATTCGTCGAACAATTTCTTTTTTTAAGAAAATGAATAAATATGAAAACTCTAAATCATTCTGAATTGCTCAGGAAAAAAAAGCAGTTGCCATCAACACTTCAAAGAATAATTAGGCATTAGATTTCCATAGCTATTGCTTACATTTCATTTATTAAAGATTCACATGCATGCCACATATTCCTATGTTTTTAAATTCCTAATATATAAACAAAACTAATACACAAGTAATGAAGCCTTCTCTTGTTCACACATCTGAAATTTCTTAGCATCTCCTAAAATAAATAACACTATAATAACACCATAAAATACATAAATATAAAATTTATCAGATAATTATTTCATGCCCTAAATAAAAGCTTTTTTTGATATGATATACTTTACTCCAACATTAATACGTCTTAGACATAACAACAATCAGCATAAGTTTGCGAGAATTATATCATTGTTCTCCCAATAACAAATTGAGACAAGCACAAAAAACGAAATACAAATGTCAATAGCAACAACTGCACAAACAAATTTTGGCAAAATTTGTAATTGGTGCATATCTTAATAATTATTTTTATTAGAAACCTGTCCAAATATTTTAAGAAGGAACAACCTGTCACTTATTTGATTTCTTTTCACTTTATTTTTGTAAAGCTCGCCAAAATAAACAGAAATTTCTCTTTATATATTTATTTTCTTAAACTAAACTTGGCAACGATAAAAATAGAAATAGCTTTTTCTCGTGTTTTTTTTTTTTTTTGGCAAGTTTTATTATTATTCTTTAATTTTTACTATCTAAGTCAACTTACATAATTTTTTGAGATATTTTTTCAACTTTATCTCAGTTAATTTATGAATAAATTTTATCCATAATTTTCATATTCTTGTCATATAAATTGGCACCAAAATAAACACAACAAAATTATATTGATAATATATTTCTTATTTACATCAATAAATTAATTAAAAAAATCAATGTAAATAAGAAATATTTTAGCCATATAATTTTATTATCTTTACTTCAGTGCCAAATTATGTGAAAAGAATATAAATATTATAGATGAACTTAATACATAAATATCTAAGAAACGAGAAAAAAACAGTTAAAAAGATGAATAGTTTGATGGTGCATATCTTAATAATTATTTTTATTAGAAACCAGTCCAAATATTTTAAGAAGGAACAACCTGTCACTTGCTTGATTTCTTTTCTCTTTAATTCTGTAAAGCTCGCCAAAATAAACAGAGATTTCTCTCTATATATTTATTTTCGTAAACTAAACTCGGCAACCTTGGCAACGGTAAAAATTGCTTCTTCTCGTGTTTTTTTTTTTTTTTGGCAAGTTTTATTATTATTCTTTAATTTTTACTATCTAAGTCAACTTACAATTTTTGAGATATTTTTTCAACTTTATCTTAGTTAATTTATGAATAAATTTTATCCATAATTTTCATATTATTGTCATATAAATTGGCACCAAAATAAACAAAATAAAATTATATTGATAATATATTTATTATTTACATCAATAAATTAATTAAAAAAATCAATGTAAATAAGAAATATTTTAGCCATATAATTTTATTATCTTTACTTCAGTGCCAAATTATGTGAAAAGAATATAAATATTATAGATGAACTTAATACATAAATATCTAAGAAAAGAGAAAAAAACAGTTAACAAAAAAAACCAAAGCCCCAAAAAATAGACGGAGAAAAAAGGTCAAAAATTTTAAAAATAAAAGCTTAAAGTAAAAACTAAAAAATCACTAAAAAACTGAAAACACATTAAAAGATTAAAGCATAAAGATAAAATAAAATAATTTCGCTAAAACATATTTCAAAAATAAACTACTAAAGACTGGTCAATTTTAATGGCGAGTTTTAAAAATAAAAATTAACAAAGAGAACCCATTAAGTTAAAAAAAAAAAAAAAAAAAAAAAAAAAAAAAAAAAACTAGCCTAATTAAACAAGAGATGAGTTGTTCACCTTAAAATGATATTTAAACATGTTTCAAACAAAATAATTATTTTAAATGTGTCCCAACTAAAAAACTTTGCCAAAATTATCTAGCATGATCGACGAGTAAAAAAGGCAAGCAAATCTTACCGGGCCTTAAAATTGTTGAAAATCTGGTTGGTTTGTCACTGATCTGAGCCACGCCCACTTGTGATCCTTCACATCAACCACATGTTTCGCTGCAGCCACCTCCTCAATAGGAATATAAGCATAGTTCCCATTAATTTGACCTGAAACAAATCCAGTATAGCCTGCCATGGCGCCATGAATGGATGAATGAGCAAGTAAAGTGCAGTACAAATTGTCAGTAGCATTTGCAGGAACTGCTCGGATCATATAGGTCGGATCAATGTACTTCAATGTGAAGAGCTCTCCAGGATGATCTCTCTTCCACCATTTATTCAGCTCTGACTTCAGCCATGGACCCACATCCAGGAACACCGGATTCCCAGACTCATCTTCCTCAGCTTTCTGTGATGCAGTCCTTGGTATCAGGTTCTGTCCAGCACCCTCAGCCACAACAATAACAGAATGACCATTCGTCTTCAGTCTCTGATCAAGGAACTCAAAGAGACCACCTTTGCCTTCCAAGTAGAAATCAACCTCGGGGATAAGACAGCAGTCGACGACACGGCTGCTAAGCGTTGCATGAATGGCGATGTGGCCTGTGCTTCGTCCCATTAATTTGACGAGTCCGACACCATTGACTGCACTCTCAGCTTCCACATGAGCAGCATTGATAGCGTGCATTGCGGTCTCAACTGCAGTCTGGAAGCCAAAGGAGCGGTCGATGATGCCGATATCATTGTCCACGGTTTTGGGGATGCCGGTGATGGAGACATTAAGCTTACGGCGCTGAATCTCGTTGAAGATCTTAACTGCGCCCCTCATGGTACCATCTCCACCAATGCAGTATACCTGAGAAATTGTAGATATAAAATCAGAAAAGGCTGGCAAGAAACAAACATTCCAGAGATGGTATAATAGAAGTCAAGAAAAAAAAAAACTGAAGCTTATATCTTTTGAAGCAAGCTGTGGAATCTTTTCTATGTCATATACTCAGCAACCGTAGTACATAAAGCAACTGTAGAATGAAGAAACAACTTCCAACATACTGAACATCCTATCAATGTGAATAAAAAACTCAATTGAAGATCTCCGCCTATCCATACCACTTGCACGATATGAGTCAATGCAGCGTACACACAAAACTACACTAGATGGTTGCCTTTCAACACCAAACTAACATCGATTGTGTCCTTCAGAAATCTCAAACTACGCTTCAAAGCCTGTCAATGACATTTCTAGATCATGCATAAACCTACTTACAACACCAACTACTTATATAATAACTTGTCTAATATAAAGTCTGTCCACTGCACTAAGGAACCAATCATATATTTTTCCTCCCTTGATCATCTTTAGAACACTGACCTAGACTCAACTGAAAGTGAGATGCGATAGGTAGACTTATCAGTTTGCTAGACTCAACCCCGAAATTTCTTCAACACCTTCCGAACATAAGCTCCTTGCAAGAGGCCATTTTTTTCAGATGTCTTCTAAGAAAATCCTCATGTAAAGAATTTTACGAGTTCCATCACTCTTTCATTTAGAAATGTTTGAACAGTTGAAACTTCATTCTATTAACCTCAATCTGACTAGTAAATGCAATCAAAATACTATCAATATATAAAAACAAGTAAATAAACTCATCATTGATCAACTTCTTGAAATATGCACAATGATCATATTGGTTCTTCGTGTACTCATGTCCCCTTATTAACTAATCAAATTTTTTATATCACTATAGTGATGAATTACTTCAACTCAAACAAAAATTTGTCCAGTTTACAAACTAAATCACGACTACAACATCAAGATTTTCTCTTGCACTTTTCCGTGTAGGAATGCAGGTTTCACCTCTCGAGATGTAATCTCATTCTCAGCATCTTCCACCTCTCGAGGACTATCAACATATACCTCCTGAGCTGCAACTGAAACACATGCCTGAGTCGGAGCAGAAAAATGAAGTTGCATCAAACATCAACTTCTGCTACATATTTATACCCAGTATAACTCTCTACCTGCTTTGAGTAATAATATTTAAATGAACTTCCCTCCCTGTTAATGACAACTTTCATTTCTAACTAATCATACTTCTTGAAGACTTGACTACACGCCTGAAACCAATGAATATAGCCTTCCTTACTCGTTCAGTTTATCATTCTACACATGATCGTACTGGACACCTAAAAACTCTCATGTGTTCATAATCTTTAGCGGATGCCTTAACCGCGTCTCATTTGGGGTCTTCCTCCCAGTTGTAGAAGGTAGCCAATTCACCAAGTGAACAATTCTATGGTCTCGATTCAATAGATTCTTTCTAGTCCAGTATTGAATAAAATACATCGAACTTTCTCCACCAAAATCAGATTCCTCTGCTCTGTCTTCCGGTTGTGTTGTGGTGTCTTTTGAACAATGAAGTGGTGCTCTATCTCAGTCCTCTAACATTCTTGCAAGATCACATTCGAAATGTATTAGCTCACATTATCTAATCAGATACACGAAATCTTTTACCAGTTAAAGTATCAGTCCACTACTTCCAAGTTATGAAAATCTTTAACATTATGCTTTTTGTGTTTCATGGAGTACACCTAAACATAGTATCTCCGCCCACTAATTTTGTTTATGTCGAGCCCTAAACATCTATATGAACATACTAAAATATAATTTTTTTAATTGTGGTTGACAGTCCCAAAAGATACACATCTTCTTGCCAAACACAATGTTCAAAAACATTAAATTTGCAACTGCTTGCTCATTTGATCAATCTTTTCTTCACCAAAGCGTGAAGTGAAGCTTCTCCAGTATGAGCTAGCCGCATATGTCACAACATGATGACATTAGAAGAATTATCAGCAACAACAGCCGTTCCAGTTACCGTACCACCCTGAATATAGTATAGATTATGATTAAAAACCATCATAAAAATCATTGCTCTACAGCATATCCTCAGAACTTCTACATCAATTTGCTTTGAGTCATATCCTCAGAACTTCTTTCAGATATTTGTAATATGTTTACCATCAGCCAGCTTTCTCAAAGCACCATCATGCATCCTAATAAAGATACTACATATACCAATAGTACAACAATCTTGATTGTTGTCCATAATCATTGCACCGCTATCCAACTATTTATACGTACATAACTACTCTTGAAAGGGGGCAAATATGATAGATAGTATACGTGTCCAGAATCCACCACGAATCATTCGTAAATAGTGTAAAAAATTGTAGATAACAATAAATTTAAATTCGCCTCTTCGCATTTGTCCATAATGAAATTAATGTCTCAAATGAAACTTCCTTTCTCTTCACTTTCAGATTCGAGTAATCTTTCTTCCAATGTCTAATATCTAAACAGAAAACACACTAATTTTTTTCAAAACTGCCCACAAGACGACCAAATTCAAGAGGTGTCGCTGTCACAATCTTTGCCCAATTCTTCTAATTCTTCGTCTCAAATATGCCACATTGATTTGTATGTGCTTCAATTGATTATATCATTGCGGACTCTCTGTCCTTCGAAGGAACTCATGATTCATCAGTGTCACAGTCACTTTGTCATAATTCAAAATCTCATTCCCATAAATGAATGTTCTTGTGAAACTTTCGTATTCAATATAGGAGAAAATTTAACAAAAAAGTGTCATATCTTCATCTTCAATCTCTTTATCTAAATTTAACAGATCTGTTAACAGTTTTGTAAAGTCATTTAAGTGCTCATCAAAAATAACCACCAGTCTCATATGAAATATGTTAAGTTGGCGTTTCATATAGATCGATTTTCAATGCTTTTCGCGAGGTATTTGTTCAACCATATTTGATCTCCAGAGTCCAGCAATTTTGGATCAAACCACTAGCAATCTAATTCATTTTCAACCTATCTCTAACAACTTTTCAGGACATTCCTCGCTCCTACTGCAATGCCACCAGAACATCACGACGGTTGGCCAGACCATCCGACCTGAGCTCACCCAGATTCCCATGACCGAGAAGCTGACTTGTGGGAACACTGCCTTTCGCCGGTTGTACTCCAAATTTGCGAGTAAAATAACATTGGCAACACAAACCGAATTTGGAGCTGTCAAAATCGAACCTCGCTTCAATCATTCCAGTCGACTCTCAAACCAAAAATCACACGCTCTAACACCGATCGTTTTGTGAAAACAATGCAAAAGCGTAGAAATTTGCATAATAACATCAATCAATCAATCAATCACAAAGATTTACATGATTCGGCATTAAGTTGGTTTGCCTGCGTTCATGGGGAAAGAGATTTCAATAGCACCGGATGAAAGAGAGAAAAAAAAGGATTACAACTCAACACTACTCCTCAATATTCACCCTTGAACATTAAGTCCTTTCTCATATGAGAGGCTTAGAGCATATAAGAAAAAGAACAAAAAACAAAAAAAAAACAAATCAATTTAAAAAACCCATTAAATAAAACACCTCAAACAAATATCTACTAGCAATCTTGAACATTGATCAAGTAGTAAGTATTGATCTAAGTACACCAGTCAGGATCAACCCTTTAGCAAATGGGCTGTCACAACCAACTAAATTTCTTGAGATAGTTGTAGAAGACTTAAAACCCTCAATTTGTCTCTTCTTAACACCTATTTTCATACCAACTTTCAGAAAAGTTTCTCTCGTTATGGTATCCACACCTTTCATTGCAATCATTTCTTTCCAATAGCAATTACACCTTCGACGGACTGCTTGCAAAAACACTGTATTTCCATTGGAAGCAAGTCTTATGTCATGCTGAGTGAGAATTTTTTTTTTTTTCTTTTTGCAGTGGCTCCACGGGCTACAAGAGAATTCCTATAAATTCTCGTAAAGCAATGATCAACAAGTCCATCAGTATATATGAGATAGTGCGCGTCTTCATGAAGCACTTCCTACCCTATTTCAAGCCCTCGGTGCGTAATCCACTTCAACTATGGTGAAATTGACATGGAGCTGTGGTTAGAAGCATCACTAGCGATAAAAAAAAAACCGTATAAACTTAACAGAACTTCGCCTCATCCAATCAAAACTCTGTCAAGAATCGAGTTCCCTAAGCATCAGAATCAGTGAGAAGTGACTTAGAGTCCGTTTGAAGCAACTTAAAAATGCGTTTGGAATTTAGAAAACGCCGGCAAGGCGTTTGATTCGCGCATTCGTTCAACGTATTTGGACACTTCGTTTTATATTTATATTAGACGTGGGTCGCGGGATCGACCCAACGACCCGCGTCTTCCCATCTGCGTTCGAGGTTAATTCCTCCTGTGACCCTCTCCTTTGCTCGACTGTGTTCAAGGATCCAACGCTCGACTGCATTTGAAGATCGGCACAGGCTAGGGCATCACATCTCTTCTCTCTCCATTACCTTCTATAGATCTCCCTCTTCTCTTATTGTCCCAGTTTCGCCGAAGCCATCACCTTTCATGACCGAACCCGTGCGATACATTCACTATGTAAGCGAAGCGAGAAGGCAATAGTGAGATCACGAATACAGAGACCCGAAACTCCCTTCCTCCTTCTGTTCGCTCTTACCCGCAACCGGTGAGGAAGGTAACCTTGATTTCAGATTAATGAATTCATGCAATTGTTTTTCTATTTTTGCGAAAATAAAAAAGTTATTTTGCTTGATATTAGATTATGCCTCAGTTGGTGTTTTATTTCAGTGCAAATAATGATCACAATAGATCTAGAGGAAGAAGTTTTTCAAGTTACTATGAATTGTGCCAACTAAGGAAGCTGATATTGCGAGAATCCCATCACTTAGCCAGCTCTTAAAATATGAACTAAAATCGCGAGTTCTTAAAATATGAACAAGAACTGCCTTTATCTCAAAACGTTTGAAAA